CAGAAATATGAATTTAACACTATGAGTGGGAATGCAATTGGGCCTATAAATGTGATTCTTACATACAGAACGAATGAAATAAAATATTTCCTCGATAAGTGAGATATAAATAAGTGAGATATAAACACGAAGGTTTTTAGGAGTTCAAATGTCGCCATATACATCATCATAAAAAGATCATTTCTTCTAAAAACTCTAAGAATTCGAGTCAGTAAATCCAATCGTTATATCCATTCAAAATCACACTGTAAAAGCCATCTGAATCATCGAACATGGCGTTTTCGTCGTTAAAGCCGTTACATCGTTATAACAGTTACATACGATATTGTAATTCAAAGAAATTTAAATGTAAGCTGCAGCCTTGATTATTATAAGTCCTTTAATATTGCTATAAACTATAAAACCACATCGCTATTTCAACTTAGTAAAAATCTTATTTTAATAAATAGTTTTTTACGTTCTCCCATTAATCGATCAAGAGATAAATAAATCATTATTGATTTCACACATTAATTATTAATACTAAAAATACAATTGAAAAATCATGACCTCGGTCGAGACGGCAAAAGTCTCAGGAAGTGATACGTCCAATGCAGGCTATGTATGATGCCAATGGGGGTCGTTTATGGGAGTTTTTTTTTATATTCAGTTTTGAACTCTGCAGCAACCAGAAATTTAGTTTAGAGATATCCAATTGTCGATTAGTATAGTGAAAACTTCGATTTTACAGATAGTTCAGGAACGGTTGAGTTGCCTTCTGATTTTTAACTGTATGTTTAATATTGGCGAACGATAGATACCTTTATATGATTTAAATTATATTTTTATTTAAACATTGACAACGTTGTAGCAATTCATTGGCTGGCAAGCACCTGTTCGTCCTGGAGAAGATATCAAGCCGCTAGAATACAAAATGGCGGCCATGTGAAGATAGAAGAGACTCTTCATAGGTTGCACCGTATATATAGAGAGAGCTTATAGATATATAAAGCTACCAACACTTTCAATTCATATTTTTACAGTCTTAAGACCTGAAATAAAAGTCAGTTACCCCATACTCGTAGATTTCAAGTCGAAAAATTGAATTTACGATTAAAAAGTTTACTTTTATCGGTTTTTCGCTTATATCAGTAAAACTATGCGTTATATCTATAATAGTGTGATATGTGAAATTAAAGCTGACAAAATTTGCAGTAGAAATGGTTATATTAGTTTATTCGCTATATTCTATAGTTTCCGTGATATTCGCCCTCGTAATTCACTAATTTCGAAAAAAAAAATTTTTGATCCATTTTTATCATTATTTGACTCGCCAACTCTTTATCTTTTCATTTTACGAAAAAGTCATCCGGGAGAAAGTGGTTTAATATTAAATTTTCTTTAAGAATATATATTATTTTACGATCTTATCTTCAACCATTCAAAGGCTAGAGCAATTATAATTTAATGATTAAACTTCTACAACTATACAGACAAAAACTTTTTCTCATCAGGCCTGTTGATATGATCAATTTATAAGGACAAAGCTTAGTATGAAATATGACACCTTTTTTGCCACGGGCTCCCGGACTATTATAAGAGCAAGTACAAACCTGAAACGTCTCAGTTTTTTTATTTGGGTCCACCCCTTCGACATTGAGACTTTATGAAGCTTTTCCTTGGTGGAAGGCGGGGATGTTTAAAACTCCTCCAGCACCAGAACGGGAACTCATAATTATTTTATCATGTAAACTTGAGTTTATAAGGTTGCCGGGAAACGTGTGTTTTATACAGCTTTAGTCTCCTCAGTTCCAGTCAATGAATGCCCGAAAAAGAAGTAATAGAAAGAATTGGCGGGGACTCAAATTTTGACTTATGGAAATTGTTTGGACTAGTTAAGTGATAAGCATACTAAAAGCACTGTTAGGTGGTGAGCCAGGTGTGGGGATAGGAGAGAGAGGAGTGCCTAGGCCACTTTTCAGGTTTTCACTTATATCAGGAAAACCATCCATTTATAGTAGATTCAATTATTATAAATTAAATGAAACATGATTAATTATATACCATTTTTCGCTATATTGCTTAGTTTCCGAGACATCTGTCCTCAATTATTGCTAATGTGGAAAAGACATTTTACCTCATGTTTTTTACTGTATTTGACTAGCTAAAACTTGACTGCATCGTTATACGATAAAGTCATGGGAAAGAAAGTTTTTAACAATTAAATTTTCTTCAAGAATATATATTATTTTACTAGTTAATATCCAACGGTTCAAAAGTTAGATCAATTATAACTTTATATGTCAATTCCGAGAATTTGCAGTAAACATTTATTTTTATAATATTCGTTATTATATTGCTCTAACCCTCTATACATCTAAATCTCTCTCTCTCTCTCTCTCTCTCTCTCTCTATATATATATATATATATATATATATATATATATATATATATATATATATATATATATATATATATATATATATATATCTCCATATGTATACATACATACAATAAGGTATGTTATTAAAAATATTTTTTTTCTCGGATTCAATGCAAATTCTGGGAATTGACATATAAGTTATAATTTATTTAACTTTTGAACCGTTGAAGATAAACTAGTAAAATTATATAGATTTAGGTTATCGTTCCCAGCACCTAATTGTAGCATGAAGCAGCCAATAATTAGCTACTCAAATACAGTAAAAAACATGAGATAAAATTGTTTTTCTCAAATTAGCGATTATCAGGGACGGATAATTCGGAAACTAAGCAAGATAGCGAAAAATGGTATATAATTAATCATATGGGGTATTTTATTAACTTTAAATTTTTATAGAACATTTTCGGCGATGCGATAGATAATTTTTCTGATATAAGCGAAAAACAGCAACAAACATGAGACAGTTTTTTTTCTTCGAAATTCGCCAAAGTTGAATGTATATATTTCGCTAACTAAGCGAGGTAGCGAAAAAATGTATAGAATCAATCATATTACAAATTTTATCAGCTTTAATTTTTTATAGAACGTCTTTGTCGATGGGATGGATAGTTTTCCTGATGTAAGTGAAACCCCGAAAAAAATGACCTTCTAGAGGCCTCCTCCCTCCTCTCCACCTGGCCTACCACCTGAGAGTGGAGACTTTTAATATGTTCATTTCTTTACTAGTCAAACAATCTACCAAACTCAAAAATTGTGTCCCTGCCATTTCCTTCTGTAATCATTCATTAACTGAATTACTCGGCTATCTCGCCTCACAGTTGGTATCGTATGGATAATTATTGTTCTGTTTGAGGCAATAAAAATACTTTTTTTTTTTATCATTATTTCGTAATGATATCTACAACTGTATTAAAGAAATACATTGGGTAAATTTAAACATATGGATATAATGACGTGAAAACACTTGTTGAGTAACTTCCCAGTGGTAGAACTCTAATGATATCTCTACATTAGAAGATCATGGGGCCATCTTCTTTTCAGACGCCTCGGAGGGTTATCAGAAATTGAAGAGGAAGCAAGGTTAGAAACGAGAGGGTTGGGATGATTCTGAAGTTTACTGTAGAAGGATAGGTATCTGGATTGGGCCAGATCTGATACATAAGAAACATTAAAGTCATTATGGATGGTTTTATTTTTAATAAAGTAGGGACCATTGAGGATTTTACAAAGGATCTTAGATTGTAAGGATTGGACACGAGAGGAATTCGATGGTTTAGGGGAGCCTCATAGCTCAACTCCGTAAGTCCAAACAGGCCTTATTATAGTCATGTATATGAGTCTTTTGTAATTAATCGGAAGTTTAGAGCGTTTGTCCCGTAAGTGCTGAAGTAATCGGAAACATTGAGCGGTTTCTTGTCGTTTCAGTCTAGTATGAGGATTCCAAGCTAGTCATCTTTCCAGGTGGAGTCCTAGGTAGTGGATTTGCTCAACAGAGATAAGTGGAGGTGGAGTATTGTTAAAGGAAACTGTAGGACAGGAAGTCATTGGTTTACGACGAAGGGTATAGGTAATTTGGTGAGATTTATTAGAATTTATTTTAATTCTCCAGTTTTGACACCATTATTCAAGGTTTATGATGTGTGATTGAAGCATTCGGGATGCAATTGATGGGTCATTATTTACTGATAGAATACATATGTCATCGGCATATGTGGTGATGACAATGTTGAGATAGGTAGGGATGTCAGCTGTATGAATTGTATAAAGGATAGGACATAGGATACTACCTTGAGGAACACTAGTGGACTAGGAAATAGAAAAACTAAATTGCCATACATTAAAATAAAAATAGCCCGTAGCTTAGTTTATTTCATACTCTTACTTTATAAAAATAATGTGCTTAAAGTATTAGTAAACTGGCGATAAAAATAAATTACTTAAGATCAGTTTTCTAAAATAAAATAAAAAATCCTAATCATGTTTACAAAATGCTTCCTCTTGAACATTATATTTGTTTTTTAAAATACTGAACGGACTTTTTTTTTACTTTAATCTTTCAATTTTCAACCATGTATGATAAATTAAATAGTTATAAATTATATATATAGTTATAGTTATAAATTAATTAGTTATAAACTATATATTTTTAACATTTGTGTCCCTTGACATTTTGGTCAGGAAAAACTTTCATTAAACAGGGAAAAGTCAGGGAATTTTACTCTAAACAATTTGGTAGCCACACTGTCAGTGTCTCAAACTGTTCTCGGTCGAGCATGGCTAGCGGATAGTTCGTAGGAACCACCGCAACCAGCTGGCCCCTCAAGGCTGAGGCATAACTTCTGGTTACTGCTTCTCTGGGTTTCTTGGCAATAGGTGCCGAGGTTCCCAGTGAGGTTCTTTGCCTTATGCCCATCATTGGGGCCAGCCCCCGGGCCTCCATAGCCTTGGGCGTAGGATCTCGAGAGACCTCTACGTCTTTAGCTGGTGGCCCAGAGGTCGACCCCATCTGGGGTAAGTGTTTTCTTGGAGCCTTTGCAGCGGGCAGTTCAGCCTTGGTCGCCGGTCCATAATTGGCCCTTACAACTTTAGTCTCCCGCCCACCACTAGGACCCTTGATGTCCTGGGAGCAGAGACCCTCATGTCGGACTCTTCGGCCTTGTATGCAGGGTCTGGGATGACCCTTGCATCCTTAGCCGAGTGCCTTAGTGTAGGTCTCGCTTCCGAATGTGTTTTTAAGATGATTTTTTCAGCCATTCTGTTTCTCCTTTGCCACCTTCTCATTGTTTTAGTCCTATTCAGTGTGGCAGAGACTACTTCTTTCAAAGCAAGACCACCGCTTTCCATCTGAATTTTTGAATCAGCCAGGCCTGTTATTGGGCCTGTCTCTTGAAGGTTTTGTGAAGGTAGGGCAAAAGCTCCAGCCTCAGCTCTGGTCACCCTCCTAATTTCCTCTCCTTCATAATATACCTGAAGTCCCTCAACTTCGGCCGTGAGAGATCTGAAAGTATCTCCCATCGATGCCTCATTGAGGGTAATATCAAAAGAAGTCCCTGACAAGTCAGGGTGTTTACATTCCGAGGAAGAAGAATCTTCTTCAAATAAAAAGTCTGTCCGTCTTGTCGTTTGAGTTTGTTTGTTTGTTTTCCTGCATCTGGTTCCCACGAGTATTGGGGAAAATAGACTGTAGGTACTGCCCCTTCTCCCTACAGCCGGCTACTATAAGATGGGGTGTCGCCTGGTGCCCCAAGTGGGTCGATAAAAGACAGTGTATTTTTACCCACCCCCTGCCACTTAGCCTCAGCCCAAACTCCTACCTAGCTTCTTCCCTACCTCGCCTTTTAGGCTATACGGGATTTTTCCGGCCGGGGGATGAGGGCGGGGAATTTAAAATCCCCTCCAGCACCGGGACGCGAACTTGTACTTTTTAAATCTTCTCAATTCTGTAATCCGGTTGCCAGGCAACTCGCGGTGCTGTGCACACGCTTTAGCCCATTCAGCCACCCCGAAGGCTGTGGTTTATGCATGACATAGACAAGTGCTCCAGCTCACTTTTCTAATAGTGTCACTGATTATTTAAATGCAACTTATGGAGACCGATGGGTTGGTCGAAATGTACCTGTTAAATGGCCACCACAATTTTGTGTGGTGCTGGATGAAGATCTATGGTTTATTCTGCGACAGTTGGCACGCAAGAAGAGCTAAGAAATCGGATCATGAAAGCCGCAGTAACTATCAAGCACCATCCTGATGCTATACGAAGAGCCAGAGGAGCATGGATTCGTCGTGCTGTATGTTGCATTCAACAAAACGGAGGCACCTTTGAACAGTTACTCTAAATGTTGTAATTATAATAAATCTTTAACCTTTTATATCTGTTTAATAAATGAGTTTGAGATATATGTTAATATGAACTTTTTTATTTATATTGTGTTAGTGAACACATACCTAAAACAGTGCCGTGCAATTACGAAACACCCTGTATATTATTAATTTGTGTAAAAATAAATTTATAATAAATGAAGAGGAATATCTCATTATAATTTTATGGGAATATTATTGTGTTCATTATCACTCCTGTAAATACGAATGTATGCGTTTTTAAAGGCATGTATTTTGATGCAAATATTTGTGTTCAGACCAATCAATTTACCGTAATATTAATATTTAATTAAGAATGTTTATATTACTTTTATGTGAATATGACAACATTCTTTACCACACCTGTAAGTACAAGTACATACATATTTACAGGATCGAATAAGATAGTAAATATATGTATTTCGACTTATAAATTTGAAAGAAAATAAATATTTTTTAAATAAAGAAGAATATGTATCCATAATTTTATTTGAATATAACATTCTATATAACATATTTAAATTCAATTATGAGGGGATAAAGAGACATATATGCCCAACGCTGATTTTTAAGCGTGGGTTTTACTTGATTGAGTCTCTCAATTTGTCGATTATATCGTGCAGATCTAAAGGAACTAAAAAAAAAGTATTAAAGAATATTTCCTTGTGTCAGGCCATCTGTTATGTTATGATGGCACCATTTTGGAAATTTTTCGTTGTCACATAAAAATAGTATGGTAAAACTCACACAGGCTGTACCTAAAGGGAAAAGAATGGATTTTCTTGAAAAACCAGAGATCAAGAAAAAAAACTTTAAAAAATAACTTATTATGCTGAAATGTTAATAATACTCAATTTTGAGGATTCTCTTTAAATTATTATTAATTAATGAAAACATGATGTAAGGGGGTAGGATAGCCTATCTAAACAATAGTTTTATTTTCATTTTTAATCTTTATCTGACAAGAAAGAGAGGAGGACCACAATAAATTACGTAATAATTAGTTTTTATTTAATTGTTAAATTTGTATTTATTTTAAAGATTGTTTTCTAAATTTTTTTTTATTATATTATTGTTGCTATTTTTTATATTTTATTTAGCCTGATGAAGGACCGAAACCGGTACCAAAACGTTAAATAACTGATTAAAACATTTTAAAAATAAATAGAAGTGCACAACGTGTCAGCGTCATTCAGATCACAGTTTCCTTTATTTTTATTATGAAAATAGGTGCCTAAATACTTTCTTGGGCTTTTAAATATAATTTTTAAATCATTCAAGCTGCTGAATATTTTTTTTATGTTTTCTTTTTGAACATTTTATTATTTAGTTCTGAATTAAATTTATAGAAATGTCAGGACGTAGAGAGGGAGGGATGGAAGAAAAAGTTGAGAGCTTAGAAGGAACTTTTCTCACATCAATTCAATTTACAAAAAATTTAGAGGGGCCATGGAAATGTGCAAAGCGTTAAAAAGTGATAAAATGGTTAGGCATCCAGGTTGGAAGAGGCATCCAAAGTCATCTGTAGTGAGATTGTATCTTCCTAGGAAGTCGGGAGGGCGTGGTCTAATCAGCCTCTTGAATTTATGCCGAAAGGAAGAAAATAATCTTCGCGACTACATTATAAACCATACTTCCAATATCCTTTCAACTATCGCATCATTAGATATAAATTATACAGCTTTGAATTTACGAAGCCCTGTAATCCCGATTAGTGGAGCAGATGATGGCACTCGATCAGAAATAAGGAAAAATAAACCTTTACACGGACAATTTTATCACTCATTAATGGATGTAGGAGTGGACGCTGAGGCGTCATTAACATGGCTGAAGAGTGGAACTATCTTTCCGGAAACAGAAGGATTCTTGTATGCTATTCAAGAACAGGTAATAGCCACAAAAGCATACAGAAAACGTATATGTGGAGAGGGCATCGATGACTTATGTCGCTTATGCAAAAAGGCAGTTGAATCAATTCAACATGTAACATCGGGATGCACAATACTAGCGGGTAAGGAATACTTGCCGAGACACAAAAATGCAGCTAAGGTAGTGCATCAAGCTATGGCTCAGAAAATGGAACTCGTCGATAAGTATTGTCCGTATTATAAATACCATCCAGAACCAATTAACTCCATGCGCAATGTCAAGGTGTTCTGGGATCAACCGATCTTGACGGATCACACCATCCCCCACAATAGACCAGACATTCTTATAATAGATAAAGGTAAGCAATCTGCGTTTATCATAGAGATTGGAGTTCCTTCTGATGATAACCTACACAAGGTAGTAGGGGAAAAAAAGAGAAAGTACGTAGAATTGAATGAAGAGATCAAACAATTATATCATTTAAAGGAAACCCGAATTCTGCCAATTGTAATCTCGTGCAACGGACTGATACCGGAAGAAACTGTATCTTCTCTGCGACAACTAGAACTACCATCTCAGACGATCGAAAGAATGCAACAAGCGGTGTTGTTGGGAACAGCAAATATTGTCAGGAAGTTCACAAATATTAAATAATTATGAAAATATACAAATGTAATTTTTGGCTGACCTAATAGGTCCCCAACTATTACATAATTTAAACACCATTGTATATGTGGAAAATAAAGAGATAATAATAATAATAGAAAATAACTTTATTCTGGGACAAAGTCCCTTTAGAATAACAAAATAGAACATAATTAAAATACTACATCTGGCCAAAATAAAACAATAATAAAAAAGAGAAAGTAAAGAAAATATTAGTTAAACAAGCTATATACAAAAAAAAAAAAAAAAAAAAAATCTATATACAAAACACTTAAAACTATGATAAAACGCTTAAGACTATGTACAGTAGGAAAAATTATAATTATACTCTTTTGAAAAATAAAATAATAAAAAATACATCGAGTTCTTCTTTAAAATGAGGTGCGTTTCTGCTAACAAAGAAAAAACAAAGCTGACAATATAAAATATCAGTGTCTTTAAATAATGATTAATATGTAGACTCATCATTGTCAAATGCTAGAGGTACAGATTGAATTATATACCAATACAAAATAATAATAAAAATAAAAAAAGCAAATAATAGATGCGGTCAGTGGCATTAAGAGCCGGAAAATATTGTAATACCCCTAGTGAAGTTCACAGTATAGAATAGCACTATCGTTTGATGATGACTAGAAATGTATAATATCGAAAGTTTAGCAAGTATCTGACTGTTTTGGGGATAGGAATTGGAATAGGAGGGATTTGAATGTGGATATGGAGGGGGAATGCCGAATTTTGATAGGTAGAGAATTCCAGAAATTGAAAGCGCGAGCTATAAAGGAATTCCGAAATGAGGCAGATCTGTGCCAAGGGATGTAGAGGTCAGAAGGTCGAGATCTTGTTGAAAGGGAATGGACTGAGGACTTGAATTGGAGAAGGTTGTAGGCGTAAGAAGAACGATGGTTGTTAATGATTTGATAGAGGAACGTACCTAGGAAATATTGTCTTCTAAAGGAGGGGAAGAGCCACCTTAACTCAGTGTAGTGGTGAGAGACATGGGAGTACCTCGGGGCACCGATAACAAATCCTACGCAGCTATTCATTAATCTTTTCAGTCTATCACGGAGCTCCACCGGGAGGCCATCATACACCACACAGCTGTAGTCAAATTGGGGGAAGATGAGAGAGGAAATTAGGAGTCTACGGGTATGTTGAGGTAGGAGATGGCGGAAGCGATGAAATAGTTTAAGGGTAGAAATTGTCCTACGGGAAATATGAGAAATATGGTAGTTCCAGGAGAGGGTTTGATCTATGAATAATCCTAAATTTTTAACAGAGGAGTAGAAGGAAATTGGCTGGTCATTAAGGTGTAATATGGGAAAGTCAGTATGGGATCTAATAAGGGGCTTGGAACCAATGACAATGGCCTGAGTTTTGGCAGTATTTAACTTTAATCCATTTACATTTGCCCAGGCACTGATTCGATCAAGGTCTTCTTGAATCTTGGCAAATGCCGCCAATAACTCAGAGGGAGAAAAGGATAGGTAGATCTGGGAATCATCTGCATAAAGGTGGTGGGAACAATGGAGAATTGAATTATGAAGGTCGTTAATGTAGGAGCTGAAAAGGAGAGGAGGTATGCTTGAACCCTGGGCAACTCCGGAGGATAAAGGAAGATA